GGGGGGGGGGCGCTGGTGACACTCACCGTCGGGAAAGCAGTGTGGTGGGATGGCGATGCAACTCCTCGATGGCTGCACCAACGATGCACCTCCTCGACGACAGGCAAGGTGGCGATGGGCGCAGCAGGGTGGCGGACGGCGACGGCGGGAACCACAACTGAAGCGAGGCGGGAAATCCAACTGGAGGAGGTGGGAAATGTCTTCATCGGGGGTTTCAAATTTTGAAACCCCAAGGCGGTCCGGGCTTGAGCGCAGGCCCAAAAAAAAATTTGGCAGCACCAGCCGCATTTTTCAGAAGGGGTCTCGAACCTGCCGTTTCGAGCCCCGCGCTTTTTTTTTTTTTGGTGGGGGGGGGGGGGTATTTCTTCGTCGGCCGTACACCCGTACACCGCACGGGTCCGGTCCGGCGGTCCGGCAGACGTGCGGGAACGCGTCGACGACATCCGCTTCAAGTATGGCTGCAACAGATTGGCTGCAGTTTTCTTAAAGCCAAAATGTCCGGTGGCATCATGACACTCACCTAAAAATAAACTACGCAAAGACTCCCTATCTGGCACACACAGACGTTTATTCCCTGCCTTCTCAAGGAACAGCAATCCTTTGACCAACTCAAACTCGACAGAAGTTGCTTTGTCCTTCATCTCGGGTCTGCGTATGATCTCAGACATAAACCGGTCCTCGCGATAGGCTTCCACCATAGACTGAGTAACATCGTCCGCAAGCCCAAACTCAGTGATCAGCGCACTAGAGAAATCTGGTCTACGCGACGGTGCATCAGCAACCTTGTTGTACTCGCCCTTGATGTAATGGGGCTCAAAGTCATACTGCTCTATGAGTTCAATCCAACGCTTCAAAGCGTCAGAGAGCACAGGCTGGGTTCTCATCCACTTCAGAGTCTGGTGATCATTCTTGACGTAGAAGAACCTCCCAAGGAGATAGTGTCTCCAATGGGTGAGCGCCTTGTAGATCGCATAGAGTTCATTCTCATAGGTGGACTTAGCTAACTTTTGAGAGGGCATCTTTTTGGATATGTACTCTACTGGCCTTAACTTCTTCCCCTGCTGCTGCGCACGCCTATGCCATATTGGCTAGCATCCGTAGTTACTACAAATGGCTTGTCAGGATCAGGAAGTTTCAAGACCTCATGATGTGTCAACGCATGCTTCAGATGTCTGAAAGCAGCCTCTCATTAATCCCTTCGCGAAAATCTCATGACCCAAGTACAAGACACGCGTGCGGCCGAACTCGCACTTCTCACCGTTGATCTTGAACTTGTGTTGTCGCAGAAGACTCAGGACTTTATCCAAGTGCGCAACGTGCTCCTCAACAGTCTTACTAAAAATAAGTATGTCATCGAGGTACAAGATGACAAACTTATCCAAGTAGTCATGAAATATCCGACTCATAGCGTGCTGAAAGGTGCCAGGGGCATTGCAAAGGCCGAAAGGCATCGCCACAAACTCGTACAGACCGTACCTGGTTTGAAAAGCGGTTTTGTGTTGATCCTCGGGCCGGATTGCAATCTGATGGTACCCGGACTTCAGATCTATCTTACTAAGTACCGACACCCTTGTATTCTATCTAGCAAGTCATCGATGTGCGATAGGGGCTCTCTGTTCTTGACAGTGATGGCATTGAGGCCCCTATAGTCAATGCACATCCTAAGTGTTCCTTCCTTCTTCTTCGGTACAAATAGGACTGGTGAACCATAAGGAGAAACACTCGACCGGATCCAACCCTTTTCTACAAGTTCCTTTGAGTTGTCGGCGAAGCTCGTCAAGCTCGCCTGGAGAAATCCGATAGATCCTACCATTTGGGATGCTAGACCCTGGGATAAACTCTATCGCGTGGACGACCTCCCTCTCAACAACCCCTGTCGGCTCTTCAAATAGATCAGGGTATTTAGCAACTACTCCCTCTATCTCCGGCTCGCCTGCAGCAGAGACATAAACTAGATACATACCCTCCTCTTGATTTTGCTTACAGTAATTATAGAACGCGGCTGCACACATGCATCCGTGGGACTCGATCAAACTACTAGCTTTGAACTTACGTAATCTGGCGGTCCTCCTACCTGGCAAAGTGTGTTTGACCACTTTTCGGTCCCAGTCAAACTGGGGTTGTGGCACAGAGAGGTAGTACATACCTAACAACATATCCATGGGGAGTTCATCGCTCACTAGGAACAAGACACGATGTCTCAGTTCCCCTCCCGCGTACGGGAAACAACACTCAACATCTTGGAGGTAGTCATTGACTACCATGCGCTGTTTGTTAGCACAGGTCGACTCCACAAGTCGACTCAGGCGCTGCACTTGCCCCTGTAAGCGCAGCCTCTCAACGCACGAGCGACTAATTAAGTTCCGTGTCGAGCAAGTGTCATAATAGGCTCCGGCTTTACGACCGTCGATGACTACCTCGCTGACGAACATCTCACCCTTAGGAGCTTTGACTGGTGCCGTCCAAGAAGCTAGTGGGTCTGACCTAGACCACTCCTCCTCTAGCTCCTGAAAGGACTCAAACACATTCATTGAACAGAGGCTCGATGGGTCTGAATGTGTTTGCGGGACGACGGTGGAGTCAGTAGCTTGGGCCATCTCTCGAGATGGTGAGGGTGTGTCCACCACCTCGACCCTAGCAGGAACAACTACTATTCCTACTCGCCCGACGTGTTTCCCGGAGCAGTGCCTGAAGTGCTGGCAACATTGCTACCAACGAAAGTGGAGGATCCTACCGCTTGCCCCATCGTAGGCGGGATCTTCTCGGTCACCTTCTTATTTAGGCAGTTGAATTGGTTATGGCCATATTGGCCACAACGGATACAAGGTTGTCGTGTGTACCGATCTTTCCACACGTCCTCAGTGAGACCCGCTTTCTCCCATGGACGAGCATTGGGGTCAACTTGACTCCTTGACCGGGAACCTCCACGGCGTCTACCGACGGCGTTACCTTTTTGTGCTACGGCAGCGACCACTCCACCCCCTGAAGCTTCTACGCTGCCAGC